TACAACTCAATTTTTGTCCTGCTCTAGGTGAGATAATTATTACTCTTTCCTTATGTCACTGTCCATGATCCAAAGCAACCTGTCAGACAGCAGGTAGCCCTTAATGCAGACCTTCTGAACCCAGCTGGTGAATTAGGATGTGGCAACACTCGGTAAGCAAGTCCTCCAAAATGTTCTTCCAGGGCAACTGGACTCCATCTGTCCCCTCTTCTGCTTCTGCCTAATCCCTGCTCAGGCACAGCCAATGAAGAATTAATTAAGCAATTATTGACAGAATGGGAAGGAACTGTTGGTACAATTATTGGTGTTAAATCAATGCAGTCACCATAATGAGATTTTCTGAGATAATTCATTTCAGAAGAAATTTCTTTATTCTACAGCTTCAATCACAGGATTTTTGTTGTTGTTGTTTTATGGCACTAAGGATTAAATCTCAAGGCTCACACATATGCTCTGTCACTGAGCTGTATTCCCAACCCTTATTTTTTTTTTTTTGAGACAATTTTCACTAAATTGCCCAGGCTGGCTTCAAATTTGCAATCTTCCTGCCTCAGCCTCCCGAGTAGCTGGGATTATAGGCACATGGTACTGTAGCCAGCTATTTTTTTTTTTATTTTACACAAAAACAAAAAAACAAAAACTCTTCTACTTAGAAAAAGAAATGCCAATATTTCATCTCTTAGCTATACCTCTTCCAAAACTTGTTTATCAAGATGAAAAAAGCGGAAGAAACAGAAGTAAAATATGCTTAGTTAAACTAATGCAGTTACAATTTTCATTCACAATGAATGTAGTATCAGTCAAAAAGGCTATGGGCAGCAACAAAAGTTGATATAACCTTGTGTAAAAAGCTAATATAGCCAGGTACAGTGGCATGCCCATAATCCCAGCTACTCAGCAGTCTGTGGCAAAAGGACCACAGGTTCAAGGACAGCTGGGGTAATGTACTGAGACCCTGGCCATGCAGCTCAGTAGTAGAGCAGCCCTGAATTCAATCCCTAGTACTGCGAGACAAATGCTAATAACAGGTTAGCTGGGGCATTGGGAGTAGACACCTTGCATTGAATGTCTCCTCCCCAGGACTAGGTTAAACTCTTATTGAACATGCTAATATTTTTGAGGTGAAATATGTTTACATGGCATGGGATTAAAAAACAAAAGATTATTATCATTTCCTGGCCTTTTGGCTAAGATTGAGTGTAAAAAAATGAAAGATTATCAACAGCCTTCCATCAGTGCAGGAAATGAGATTTTTATCACCAAATGAGTTAGGAAAAAAATTTTCAATCTATTTGACTTAATATTAACTAACACATTTTACTATGTTGTCATAAAATTATATAAATACTTAATAAAATAAAATATCCACTGGTGTCCACAGGTGCAGAGCTGACCAACAGGACATGTGCCACCAAAGTGCCTGCCATGCTCCAGGTCTGGGCTTTGCAGGCATCACCTACTTGTCAATCCTACCCGCTGATTTTATCCTTCCCCTTCTATAAATGAACCACCTTGGATTCCAAGAGCTGACCCAGGTCACAAAGCCACTAGGGGGCAGGGCAAAGATTGAGCCTAGTATTCTCTCACTTTTAGGGTAAATCTTGAGGCATTTGGGTTACTTCTGGGAGGAAAATTCACAAGTAAACAGTAACTATTTGGAGAGAAAATTTTTTTACAGTGATGGAGGCCTTCATTTCAAGATTTGCCCCCAGCCAGCATCCAACCACCCAGGCAGCTCTGGGCAGGGCAGACAGGCCCCGGGCAAAGAGGCTACAAGGCCACAGTCTGCACAGTCACACCGGCCCAGGCTGAGGAGCGGCTCTCAGGGCCATAGGGCTTTCCTTTCTCCTCACTCTGCCAGTGCGAGCAGATCAGTCTCACCAAGGGGCCAGCTTCCATTGTCGTCTATTTTCTCGTTCCCTTCACAAGAAACATCAGGTACAGATACCAGGAGGAGCCTTTTCAGCCTGAGCTGCTTCTATCTAGGTCTGCAAGGTCCTCTGCTGACTTTCTGGGAAAGCACATTTCGGGCTCCTGAACATGCTCTTTCTGAGTTCTGTCAGTTTCCTTCTCTGGCCTCGATTCCTCCATCCACCACTCAGCCCTTGTCCTGGGTAAGCACTTGCTGGGGTTTATTTCTCAGTTCTTTGTAAGACAGTAAGCTTACCTCATCTCTCATCTCCTCTGTGCTCTCCCAATAAATCCCTACTCCTAAATGACTGCTTTTGGTTTTACTATTTTTACCTCCTAGACTAAAAATAAGGGATTTCTTTGTGACCAAATCAAGATTTTGAGGGTTTTGCAACTCATGATAGCGCTGTTAGGCCTCATCAGGTGGCAAATCCCTCTCACTACACACTCCTTGTCTGTTCCCCATCACTCTCAGGTCCCTGAATCTTCCCAGACCTGGCCACGTCCTCTCTCTGTCCTCATCACCATTTCAGCCTCCGGGGATAGCACAGGGTCTGGCACACAGACTGATCTCCCAGGTAACTCTTGGACAATGACCTTAGGCTTCTCTCCCAGAGCACTCTACCCTGCCTCTTCTCCCGGAGACCTCTTGCTCACTCTCCAGGACTAGGTTGCTCATGACTTCCTCTAAGAAGTCTTCCTTGCGAAGTAAAGGGCTAAAGTTGTACGGAAAGTGGGAAGGGTGGTGGAAAGGTAATAAGGGAGAGGAAAAAAATATGAGAAACTGAAAAAATGGAAATAAAGTGTTGGTAAACGGGGAGGGAAGGAGGGGGTGAAGGGAGGGCAGGGACGAGGGGAAAAAATTAGAATCAAGATCTATTATGTAAAGGTACAGAATCCCAATGATGAATGTAACTGTATTATATACCTAGATTGTACCAATAAACTCAATTAAAAAAATAAATAAAAGGTAACCACAAAAGGAAAACACACACACAAAAAAGAAGTCTTCCTTGAATTCCTGAGGTCTTTCAAGCTTTCCCTCCCAGATCACACCCGGGACCACCTACATTGGAAATAGCTCCCCCTTATCTCTCTCCACTTTCACTTTCCATAGTTTCACTTACAGTCTGTTTTCACATCATCTGAAAACGCTACATGGAAAACTCCAGAAATAAGTCATAAATTTTAAACTGCATGCCATTCAGTGCAGCATGATGAACTCTTACACTGTCCGGCAGTGTCCCACCTGGGCACAGGTCATCTGTTCATCCAAAATATCAATATTGTAGACAACACCTGATGGCCACTTAGCAATGAACTCGATTGTCAGGTCCACTGTCGTGGTACTGTAGTGTTTTGTGGTCAAAATAATGTTTATTTTATTCTTTTTTTAAAAAAAACCCAAGTGAAAGAATAATTATATAATGGTGCAAAAGAGGCCTCGGGGCATAAAACACGGAAGACAGATTAACCCTGGTACCATGAAATAACACTGCAAAGCACACAGGAAGAAACAGTATAGAGATGTTGGTGCTGTCAGTAGTTTCAGGTGTCCCCTGGGTGCCCTGGAACATACGGCCTGCAGGAAATGGGGGCTACGTTCCCCAGCATGGTGCCTGTAGTTTTGCCTGTGTTCCTAGCAGATGATGAACTCCTAGGAGCAGAGAGTGCCTCTTCATCATCTTCCCATCCCTGCACTTGCCTCAGACCTGGGTGTGTTATCTGGGTTACACAAAGTCCGTAAAAATCTTTAAAATGTAGGCAAGTCCCTCATGACAGAGTGTTTCTGCCAGAGGCTTTCCTTGAGTTTCCCAGGTAAGTGAGACAAACTGGAATTTAGGACACTGTGAGGAGGGCTGGGGAATCCAAGGTGCTGCACCTCCTAAATAGCTGACCATTCCACTTTACTTTAGTAGTAAGATACCGCGGCCTTACAGCAGGAGAGGCAAAGCAGCTTGCTAAAAAGAGTAAGTGAGCATCACTGCTCACAGGGAAAAGCATTAGCTGTCAGCCTGGGTCACCAAATATTAACGTTTTTAACTGTGTGATTTCATTAACAGGCCTGGAAGCCTCCTCACCCAGTAAAGAGCCAGGCACAGAGGTGCTCGTCCCTACTGGGCATCCTGTTGCTGGGGGATGGCACAGCGCCATGGGCTCCTCTTCCTGGAACACGCTGAACATCCCACATGCTGGGCTCCTTGAGCTCAAACCCTAACGTATGCATGCCTCTGGGGGCAATGTGATTGGCAGGGAACAGGACTACTTGATTTCCAGAGCTGGCTTCTTTGGAGCACACCTTATTCGTTAGATCTTATACTTACCCTTTCTTCCTTTCCCTTTTAGTTTAATTGAACCAGCATTTATTGAGCCCTCCAGAGGGAAAGAAACTGTAGAAAATTCAACGATGATAAAAACTGACCCTAAAGGAAAACCAGCAGCCTAAAAAATAGCAAGGACTTGCAGATAAAAATCCTGATCATGTCACATAAATAAAAATGAATTCCAATATATTTTGAACGCCTCCTAAGGGGCAACACCCCCTAGCTGTGCTACATTTTGGGGTCCAGAGGTGAGGACATCCACCTCCAAGACCTTCCACTCCAGAACAAAGCCACTTCTGGGGCAAATTTGGCACACAGTAGAACATCACAAGTTCCTGACCTCATCACCCCGCTACAGCCTCAAGAATCCTGAAGGTTGACAGAATGAACACTAGGGGCCCTGCCCAGGTCATGCTCCTGGAACCTGCCAGGGCCTCCCATCCAGGCCGCCAGGAACTCCTCCCGCTGAGGGGGCCCACATCCTCCCGAAGAGCAGAGGCCTTCAGCTCCTTCTGCCTGGGTTCTGTTGGCTGGAGGTGCATTGGAGCTGTCTGACTAGATGGAGAGCGCTGGGAGACTCCAGGGTGGGTCCAGCTGGGTGTACCTGACGGGGGTGCCGGGACAGAAGGACTGGGCAGTCTACAAGGGAAGCGGCTGGGGGACACCTGTCCTCTGAGCTTTAGTCATGGGTGCTATGCCCTGCCCTGTCCTAGGTCAGCTGTCAGCGGGCAAAGCCTGGCGCCCCACCCTGGCCCGGCCACCAACCTGGACACGCCCTGGCATAGTCGAAGCAGCAGTCCCCGGTGAGGCGGCAGGCTTGGTCGCAGAAACAAGTCCCATAGACCCGGTCCAGCCTCCAGCCGCGGGCGAAGCAGGCGG